CCTAAACAGTACATACATGTGTCATCCCCACAGCTTCATACGTAGTCTCGATTCTTTAGCTAAAGCTCTCATTCCAAGCGTATGGTCCTTTGATGTCTCCATCTCCTGAACAGGACCCACCAGGTTTTCAAGAGGAAAACAAAAACAAAATTCTCACAGTTTCAGCAAAATGTGTAGCGATGAAGACAGCGACCTCAATTTTGTTAATAGTTAATCAGTACCAATCCAATTCTTCAGGTCATTGTGCTCATTTTAGAACTGCTTCTGCGGCTTGTTGTCCTCCATGTAACCATGAAAGATATGACAAGAGTGACCCAGGACCTGCAAGAATGTCCCCAAAATCTGTTAGGGCATCACATTGGCACAATGCGTCTTTGCCAGAAAACACAACATTAGAATCAATCAAAGAGCTTTAGTGTCTTTTCCATTAACAAGAAACCCAAAGAAGATCAAGTAGAGCCTTCTCTTCAAACAATACCGATAACTCACGCGGTGACGCTTGTGAACAACAATTAATTACCCATCAGAACTTCAAAATTCAGGAAAATATAGCATAGGGAAAAAAGAACAAAAAGCTCACTGTTTCAGCAAATTTGTAGACAAGGAAGAAAGTCAAAAGGATCTTAACTTTGCTATTTCTGAATGGAATACATGGGACTGGTTCAATCTGAAGAGGATTCATGGTCGATGTGAAACAAAAGAAGAGATATGGAATTGGAACGATTAAGAGAGGAACAGGAGGGGCAAAGAAAAGTTATGGGGCGAAAATATAAGAAAACCATAAGTCGAGAGGCGAAAGAGGAAAAAAAAGAAAGCCTGTCAGACAACCGTACGACCACTGACCGGATAGCGATCCTCTGCAGCGTAGAGACTCCAAAGAGAATCATGACCGTTAATCACACTCAGATCGCACGACCATTATTCATCAACCAGGGTTGAGGGCCTGTAAAATAAAAATTAGTAGGGGGCACGTGCCCCCGTATACGCTCACCTGCGTCCGCCCCTGTGTACTTCCCTATAGAATAGATCATGTTCAAGTAAGGTCGCGACATTAAGCTATGTCTCTCCGCTATATAAACAACATGGCTTCTCTCTACATTATCCGATGTGGGACGAAAGTCAAACAACTTCAGGTCCAGAAAATGTCGTTGTTTTGAAGCGTAATGAACTAATGCCTAAAACGCCATAGTTTTTATAAACTCAATGAACTGATCGCCAATACGCAGCCCGTTTTGGTACCTTAATGTTATCTGCCGTGGTTGCGTTTAGTGTGAAATTTCCAGTAGACTTATTTGTGAATTCGCCGTGATTTCACTTCATGATGATTCTCTCACGCTCTGTATCCATGTTTCATCTCTGCGTCGAAGCTATTGTCCCAGAAGTTCAAAAAAGGTAATGGTACGTTTTTTTTTTTTTTTTTTTTTTTTTTGCGGACCATGCCAGTTCCTGGAAATCTCTTAGGTTGTTGGATAAGATCTCTGTCGCTCTTCGAGATTCTGGGTTTAAATTTTTCGAATTTGAAATTGAACTGGGAGAAGCACTTGTTGATTGTTAAATGATGAGCTAAATTTGCTGCATTTGTTAAAATTTTCAGATTGTGAAGTTTTGGGAGATTTCTGGCTTGATGACTGGTTTGATTTTTATGTTACTCAGTGGGAGTTTTAAATTGAGGCAAAGCAAGACTTGTCGTCGGAGATGCTTTCAGAAGAAGGATCTTTCCACTTCGTCTCTCTGAATCTCTCCGGCCAGAGACACCATTGTAAACATTGGTAAATATAACATTTAGTTGATTCTTTACTTTCATCAAACTCAGTCAATGAAACATTTCACTTGTTTGTATTCTCTTGTGTATATAGGACTCGTTTCACTTCGTCACTTGTTTAAAAGTTGTAAAATCGTGTTTTTCTAACAAAATAATAAAATTGAGGTTTTTTGCCAAAATCGTAAAATCGAATATTCCCACCAAAATTGTAAAATTAAGTTTTTCTGTCAAAATTACAAAATTGGATTTTTCTACCAAAACTGTAAAACCGAGTTTTTCTCGCGAATCGTAAAATCAAAATTTTTCGCTAAATCCAAAAAATTGAGTTTTTCCGCCAAAATCATAAAATCAAGTTTTTTCTCCCAATACTGTTAATCCAGATTTTTCTGCAAAAACTGTTAAACGAGTTTTTCCATAAAAACCATAAAATTCCCGGTATTCTGCCAAAACCACAAAATTGAGTTTTTCTGCCAAAAACACAAAATCGAGTTTTCCCGCTAAAATCACAAAATCGAGTTTTTAAGCCAAAATCGTAAAATCGGATTTTCCCACTAAATCCGTAAAACCAAGTTTTTCCACCAAAACCATAAAATCGTGTTTTTCGCCAAACCCATAAACCGAGTATCCCCATCAAAACCCAACTTTTTCACCAAAACCATGAAACCTCATTTCCCGCCATGATCAAGTTATCCTACCAAAACCGCATTATCGAATTTTTCCGCCAAAAACTGTTAAATCAGATTTTTCAGCCAAAACCGCAAAAATTAAGTTTTCTCGCCAAAATCATGTTTTTGTTTAGAATAATGTAATTTTTTAGTTTTGACGAAAAAATATAATTTTGATAAAAATAACAATTTTAACAAAAATGGATTTTTTTACGATTTTATCAATAAATGCGATTTTACAATTTGATGGGAAAAGAAAGTTTGCAGTTTTGGCAGAAAAATAAAATTTTGCATTTTTGGTGAGACAATTTTTTGTAGTTTTGGTGGAAAAAACAGGATTTTGGAATTTTGACGAAAAAATGTAATTTTATAGTTTTGATGAAAAATATAATTTTACAGTTTAGCAGTAAATGTTATTGTGCAGTATTATGCCAGTTGGTGATTTGAAGTAAAAACATTATTTTGTTGGTAAATATGATTCCAATATTTTGACGTAAAAACATTAATTTTCAGCTTTTTGAAAGCTGGAGAAGCAGAGGAACCTCAAGCTTTGCGAGTTTAAGTACATCATCACACTGATCGTTGTATATATTGTTGTGAGGTTAATCATCACGACTCTAGTCAATATAACTTTCAGAAGGGAGATAAATTCCTAATAGTGGTTGAGCAAGTAAAATGCCGGAAGTGCCCACTAGAGCTCCCTTTGAGTATGATAACTTTAACTTTTGTTCCAAACTTCTTAATTTTTTAAAAAATATTATTTTTTACAATTAGGAATAGGATCCTGCTTTGGGAGGTTAATCTATAGTATATTCAGTCTGTTTCATTTTAATTAATAAATTTTTAAGATTAAGTTTGGGATGAAAACTAATAATGTAATAATAAATTTTATTCATTTTAGTTTAATAATTTTATTTGCTAAATATACATATAAAAATGATCATATTTTTTATATAAAATTAAAAGCCCAGTAAATAGTAAAAACTATGTATTTATTGATTATCTGACGGGAAGTATCTGTGATAAGTTTGTCTTCTATAGAAGAACTAGGGTTTTAGATTTACCAACGGTAGATTTGTATTGATTTTCTATGATTAGTATAGAAAACAAAACGTAAGATAAAAACGAGAATAACCGACCTGTGAAAACGTAAGATTTTGGGCGGGAAAATTGAAAGAACAAAACTTAACGCGTAAAGAACGCGTTTTCACAATTACCTGACTGTTAAAAACATATTTTTATCCGTTTATAAATATCATTGCATCAGAATTCATAACCCTATCTATTTTCTTTTCACAACAATTCCATTTCTCTCTCTTACTCTTACTCTTACTCTGCCGCACGAGAAAAAATCACAAAACAATTCATTACTCTCTCTTACTCTGCCGCAACAAAAAAAACAATGGCTCCTCGACAAAGAAACTCCGATGATGAATTGAAGAAATCGAGGCTTGATTATTTCAGAAGACGATTTCCGAATTTCAAGAAGAAAGCCACTGAACTTTCTGTTCTCTGCGGCAACTCAGTTGTCTTCGTCTGCTACACCCCGGATGACAATAAAGTTCAGGTCTGGCCTGAGAATCGGCAAGAGATCCAAGATATAGTCTCAAAATTCAAGAACCAGAGCGATGAGAAGAGGAAGAAACACTCTTGCGATGTCTATGATTACCCAAATCTGGACGGTTTATCTCATGAGGAACTCAGGAATTACCTCTCGGTCATCAATGCGCAGTTGTCGGGAGTCAGACAGATAAAACGAGAACTTATGTCGGAGAAGATCAGTTCCGAACAGAGAGGATCCGGCCAATTAGGGTTTGTTTCCGATTTGGGATGTGCGGATGGTGTTGGGGTCTCGGGTGGGGAAGCTGATTCTTCTCGGCTGGAATTAGGGTTTCAGGCGTCGGAGCCAACGGCGGTGGCATACAATCCGTCGGGGTGTTGCGGCAGTGATTGTATTTGGGATTCTTCTCGGCTGGATTTGGAGTTTTTCGGTTCCAGTAGGCTTCCAATTGTTTAGTTTCGTAGTTTGATAACTTTTGTCTGTTTTAGTTTAATTGCTATTTTTGAAATTTGTAATCCATGGTAGAATGATGAAACTCGGTTTAGCTCTCGTATTACCTCAATATATTTGTGTTTTTCCTTTCTGATGAATGAGCACTAACTCGATTATTACTACAAAGTATACAACGTTTCTGCCAAACACTCATTGATTTTCTTGAATTTCTGATTTTTGTTTGTGATTTTTGTTTCTGCCAAATACTCATTGATGTTTCAACTCCCTGTCTCTCTAAGTGTGAGTTAAAGTTTGCATCTTTAGCAAATATCTTACATTTTCGTTGAGTTGGTGATTGGCTTTTCTTCTTTCTCAGGAGGAGTATCTTGGTCTACACTCGCGTGCTGTTGAATTCGGTTTATGCAGTTGAGGCTCGGATCACAGTACCTCTTCTATTTGGAGACACAAACGTCACTTGCCTTGCAAGTGTTTAGTGCTTTACAGTTAAACTCAAGCAATCAGTAATTGCTACATGTCTTCAGATTTCAAGTAAGCATTTTGAGCGACGGTTCGGTTGTAAATGAGGTTACAGGTATTGAGATGGGGCAAAAGTTATGGACAAATGTACAACAGATGGTTGCTTTTGGTCTTTGGTAAGATCTCTTCAGACCAACACGCTCAGTATGACTCAAAGCAGTTACACAGCACAACATCCCGAGAGCTGTTGTGAAGCAGTTAGGCTTTGCTGTGTTATCTTGGTGGAGAGAGAGGTTGAAACCTACCATTGAATCAGATTCTGGAGAATGCTCGAACCGTGACATGGGACATGCTCATTCAACAGGTATAACATAATTAATTACCTGATCATCAGTTTTCATCATATATTAGTCTTCTTCATCTGTGAAATCTGCTGCATGCTTATGCTGAATCTGTGGACTTATCAGCTCACTTCTTTTATAAGCCAGAGTCCTCTTCTGCAGACTAATCTCAACAACGGAGTGGAGCTAGTGAGGTGAATCTTATAACCGATTATTTTAGTCCTTCTCTTAAGTCAGTCACATGGGGAAAACTTTGCAGATAAACAATCTTTGTTAGAGTCACAATGAACTTTAGCTGCCAGAGAAGACAATCTTTTTAAAACTCTTGGAAACAAGCGGCTTTTCTCATGACCTTGACCATCTAGAAACCCTTATCGCGAATGAGACAGAGGCCGATCTTGTGTTCCAAATCGTTAAGCCTCAGGTAGTACACTTTCTTCACCCAATCGTCTGTTGATTAGCAATAGAGAAGTATCTCCGAATCTTCTATGATTTACAATGTCTCCCTGTTTCATTGAACTGAATCTTAAGCAATATATAGTCCTAAACTGACATCTTTGGAATCACAGGGAGTAAGAAATGGTCTTGTCACCGGTAATGCAGCAGCTAAGGAAATGATGTTTGAGAGCCTAACAACAACACTTTGGAGCCCAAAAGCCTTAAGTATCATTTTTCCCTAAGAGTCTCCATTTGAAAGTGTGGTGTTTGAGTAAGAAATCAGAGATCAGTGTGAGTTTAGTTAGTTATCTCTGGAAGAAAGTTTCTGAATCTGAATCATGAAAAGAAACATCATTTGTTCCGATTTGTGCCTGTGAATTGAGGCTTATATGAGCACAGAGACAAACACTGTTGCTCTTGTCTTGTGTATGATTGGTAACACTTTATGCAAACAATAGAGTCACACATCACCTTCTCTGACCACGCAAACAAAGACTGTTGATTGGTACTGTTTTTTTTTCCACTTCTCTCAGCTGCTCAAATAAGAGAACTCGTTGCTTGGCAAACACAATAGACTTCATGAAACTCAAATCTTTCAAAGCCACGATGATCAAACTATCAGAAACAGAGCATCCTCTTATTAACGTAGGTACCTCTCTCTGGCTTCTCAACTGCTCCAAGCTTGCCTCCTAACTTTTTTTCTTATTTACTCCTTGCATAGAGTTTTTAATTGTACAGATTTGATCACAACAATGTATCCATTTTTAAGATAAATCGAAAACCGTTTACCAAAAACAGAAAAGAGAGTGACTCTCTCGCAGAAAACATAGTTCTTGAACCAAATTGATTAGAGAATCAAGAAACTAAAACCCCAGACATTTGTGTGTTTAGCTTAATTGCGACATTTGAAAATTGTATTCATGGTTGAATGATGAATATGTTGTAAGATCTCGTACTACCTCAATATATGAGTGTTTTTCCTTTGTGATGAACCTGCAATAATTCGATTTCTACTACAAAGTATACAATGTTTCTGCCAAATACTCATTGATTTTTCTTTGGGGAGTTTCTTGGATATTTGATTTTTGTTTGTGATTGCACTTATGTTTTAACACTAAGTGTGAGTTAAAGTTTGCATCTTTAGCAAATATCTTTAGCAAGTATCCAGAGACAGAGTAACTTGTCGTGGACAGTGACTTCAGAGTCATTAGCTGGAGCGTTTCGAGATGTGGTTGGTGCTAGAGTTACGAAGACACATGACTAGAGCACCAATCTTTAATTTTAAGCAATGCTTCAGTAATCCAGAAACTTTGTAATTATTCAAAAACTTAGTTCGGTAGTCCACAGTATTTAATGTATCTTTATCTGAAAGAATAATGCTGTCAGAGCTTCAAGGTAATAACTAATCAAAACCAGTCCCATTCTTCAGGTTCATTGTTAAAAAATTGATCATGGAAAAACTTCACATGCCGAAATATCGTCGTTTTGCAGCTCAAGGGTAAAAATATAAGAAACCAAAAGTTAAGACGCAAAAAAAAAAATTAACCTGTCAGACCGCCGTGCAACCACCCCGACTTGGATTCAACCGAGCCGAGTAACGATCCTCTGCAGCACCGGAATCAACAGAAGATGATCGTGGCCATTAATCACGCTCCGATCGCACGGTTATGAATCATCAACCAGGGTTAAGGGCCTGTCTCTTGAGAAATCAAGGAAACAGAGGTACGAGTCTATAGAACAGATCCTGTTCAAGTAAGGTCGTGACCTAAAGTTTCATCTCTCCGCTATATAAACGACACAGCATTCTTCTATATTACCGATGTGGGACGAAAATAAACAACCCCAAATGTAGAAAGTGTCGTCGTTTTGTAGCTCAATGAACTAATGCCTAAAACGCCGCCGTTTCCTAGCTCAATGAACTGATGGCCAATACGTCGCCGTTCTATGCGATACTTGTGTAGATTTAAGCCTTTTGTATCAGAAGAATCTGATCCGCCGTGGTTGCGTTTCATGAGAAATTTCCGGTTGATTTATTTGTGAATTCGCCGTGTGATTGAACATCATCATGATGATCTCACACTGTGCTTCATTTGCTATTGTCCCAGAAGTTCAGAGTCCGGTACGCTCTCTAGCTTATGGGTTCTTCCGTTTGATCTCTCTCTCTCAATCGATCTGATGGGAAATGGGTTCGTGGGTTTGCGTCTGCTACTGAAAGCAGAAGTAGAGAAAAAAGGGTAATGTTAACTTATTTTTTTTTTGCAGAAATCTTTAAGGTTGTTGGATAAAGTCTCTGTAGCTCTTGGAGATTCTGTGGCTACTACTCAGGAAAGTCTTCAAATTTCGTGAATTTAAAGTGTTGAACTTGGAGAAATCACTTGTTGATTGTGAAATGATGAGCCACATTTGCTGCCTTTGTTGACATTTTTCAGATTGTGAAGTTTTGGGATATTTCGGGCTAGATGACTGGTTTTATGGGTTTCTATTAGATTTGTTATGTTGTTCAGTCGAAGTTATTGAAGTTTTGCTAGACCATTTGGAAAACAACTTAGTTGATTCATTGCTTTTTCATCAAAGTCGATCAACAATATCACGTTATTGTAATTTTCTTGTGTATAGGACTTGTTTCATTCGTTTTTAGACCCTTCTCGTGTTGTTAACTGAGGCCAATCTTCTGATCAACAACATCACTTGACTTGTTTCATCCCTCTTTTTGCCAAGACTATGAGGCAGTGGTTCTGATTGATCTTCGTGTTCCCTGGTTTAACAAGTCTGCCTATTATGCCATGGCAGGGATCTCTGGGAGTAAGTGATGAAGGAAGTTTCTTTTGAGTGGAGTGGCTTGCACCGTGTGAGAATCTCTTGGCTTATCTCTTGGCTTTTCTCGTGAATGAACCAGTCGCTGTTAACAGAGGCCAATCTTCTGTTCCAAATAGTTAAGCCTCACTTTCTTCACCTAATCTTCTGTTGATAAGCGATAGTAATATATCTCCAAATCTTGTATGATTTACAATGTCCTGTCTCGTTGCACTGAATTTTTAAGCAATATATAGTCCTAAACTGTCATCTTTGGAGTAACAAGGAGAAAGCAATGGTCTTGTCACCGGGAAAGCTTTTAGCAGAATGCTTGAAGAAGAAGGGAAGACGCCAGATTTTGTGGTGATGCAGCAGCTAAGGAGAGCCTAACGACAACACTTGGAGCCCAAAGCCTTAGAGCAACATTTTCACCTCAAGAGCCTCCATTTGAAAGTGTGGTGTTTGAGTAAGAAATCAGAGATCAGTGTGAGTTTAGTTAGTTATCTGGAAGAAAGTTTCTGAATCTGAATCATGAAAAGAAACATCATTTGTTCATAGATTGATAAAACTTTGCGTTGCGATTTGTTCCTGTGTGAATTGAGGCTTATATGAGCAGAGACAAACACTGTTGCTCTTGTCTTGTGTATGATTGGTAAACACTTTATGCAAACAAACACTGTTGATTGATATTGTGTTTTTTTTTACCACTTATCTCAGCTGCTCAAATAAGAGAACACATTGCTTGGCAAACAGTAGACTTCACTCACATAAGTCAAACTCAAATCTTTCAAAGCCACGATGATCAAACTATCAGAAACAGAGCATATCCTCTTATCGACTAAGGTACCTGTCTTTAAAGAGTTTCTACTTGTACCTTTTTTATCACAACAATGTATCCATTTTCAAGATAAATTGAAACCCGTTCTTAAACCACATTGATTAGAGAATTACATTTTGAAAGAGAAAAACGAAATAGACACAAATTCTGGAATATGCGTTTAGATCTATGTTGCTTGTACTTCTACTTCTCCATATCGAATCAAGTTAACTAGTGCTTCTGGCAAGAGGAGCCTAATCCTGCAAATCACTTTACCTTGCATCCTCTTCTTAGTAACCCTATACTCTTCCATTACCCAGGTCGCCTCAGCATCTTCAAACTTCCCATCTCCCCCCAAGAACTGGAAAACCGGTTTCGCAAATACCGGGTTCTCGCTGTGACAGAACTTGTAGAACCTCTTGAAACCAAGAACCTTTTTGGTCCTCTTCGAGATGATCACTTTGTCACGTCTTATCATCCTCCAGCAACCGCCATTGCATCCATCGGTTCTACCACAAGTCTCTGTCTTGTTAACGAAGAAGTAGTGTCCCACGTGTAGGACGAAAGAGGTGTGAAGACGACCCACAATCCTCCATGGCTCCACACCGTACACTTTCTCGCCACGCGAGAAACGTATAGGCCAATCGTTTCGAATAACACCGATCAACGAGTGCAGAGAGAATGTGATTGTTTCATCCTTTGGCTCGTCCCGTACACAAAAGTCCCACCTCGGCATCAAAGGTCTATCAGATAACGGCGATGCTATCAAGAACGAGAAATGCGTGGCGAGCAAGGAAGTAACCTCGCGTTGGAACAGAAGACGAATCTTGCAAATCACTTGATCTTGCTTCCGTTTGTTGACGAGCCTATACTCTTCCATCACCCAGATTCTCTCATCCTCTTCTTCTTCCTTATCACAGAACTTGAGAATCTTCTTGAACCCTAGAAACTTCCCGGTCTCCTCAGACTTGATCAGTTTATCACGAGCCATGATTCTCCAGCAACCCCATCCGCATCCGTCGGTTTTACCACAAGCCTCTGTTCGGCCTTTGGCGAAGACGTAGTAGTAAGCGTTCTGAGTATTGAAGAAGTTCCATGGATTCAGGTTGTACACGTGTGCTTGCAAGTCTTGGAGGAAGTGGTTAGGCCAGGATTTGCCGCTGTTCATCATCATATTCAGATAGTATGAGATGATCACCTCGTCTGCTGGTTCGATTAGTTCATCTTCATCTTCAGATGATACAGAGTGATCATCCATGCTCTTCTTCTTTGGTGATGAAACTCGATTGATCTCGGATAGGAGAAGAAGATTTTGCAGTGATGAAATAATAATGAGAGAGGGAGAAACAAGAAGCGCAAGAAGCAAAGAAGAGATGGAGCGAAGAAGAAAGAAGAAGAAGAAGAAGAAGAGAAATGCTTTATAGTTAGTTGTTACCGAATTACCGTTATCTTTTTTTATTCCGTAACTACCCTCTTCCTCTACGGATATTTACTGTTGTGCTAGTTTTCTATAAACTGCGTTTTAAAAAAAAAAAATCATGCTCATCTCTAGTTAATTAAATATACGTGACTAGTTTATTTAGAAGAGTTGTTGATTACCGATATTCTGCAGTTTATGTACATGGGTTTTCCAGAAATACAGTGATATTTGTTAATTAAATCATTGTTATGCTTGAAATGTGATTTATTTTATCATTAGTTATGACGTTAGTCTTTAGGAACTTCAACTATGAAAATATATGCATGTTAGTAATATTCAACAACTTTGGACACATGAATCGTCTCCTCTTTATATAAATTTGTTAGTAATTATAATCGTATTCTTGATATATTAGTGTTCGATAGAAATTAAGCTAGGATACTAATCTATTTATGTTTTTTCAATGATATGATCATATTTAAAGTACATGGTAACTTATAGTTTGTCAAACTGAGATAATGGATATGTGAGGCCACAATCTGTATTAGCCCTAGAGGCTAGAGACTCCCATATATTTCTAATGTTCTCAAGCGCTGTGATTTGCTGAGATCAAGAACCCTAAGTTGATCGCAGAGATGCAAAGTTAAGCTCTCGAGAATCAGACAACCTGATAGAATCCTAGCAGCGGATTCATCATAGAGCTTGCAAGAACGCAAGGACAGCTTTTTCAGTGATATCCAAAAAACAGAGGATTTGGGAATCATAGGAGAAGAATGTAATTCAAGGCAGAGTTTGTTAACAGAAGCAACAGTGTAGCAGAAGTCAGGAATGTCGTACGAACGATAATCCAAATCCAGCGTCAGATTCTCCACGTTTCGGGACGTGAGGATTGTCGCTCATGCTGCTACAGAGCTGAAAACAAGTCGTCATCTTGCGAGCTGTGTAGCGAGCTAGGGTTTGGTTTATCGTACCAGCACTCAGTGTATTGCTATCAAAGCAGAGAGAAGGTGTATTGACCCATTACATGCCTCCATTGTTTGGACAAGATGGAAGTTGTGATGGCGGATTTGGTCGGAATTAAGGAGAGGATATGTTGTGTGAGAGAAACCTTATCCTAGTTTGATAAGGTTTAGCATAGTTTTGTGTCTATCTATGCCTCCTCATAAATAGGTAGAAATATACCAACATTCTCAAGTGATTGTTCATGGCTTTTTTTAATACTCATTGCAAAAGGTAAAGCCAAAGAGAATTGTCTTCGAGGCATTCTAAAAGGAAACCTTGTGTATAGTGGTGTCACATACTTCCTAGATATTAGAATTATTTGACCAATCAGTTTCTCATTTCTCGTTACAGTTCTACCTTCAACCATATATCAAACCATATGAGTAATAGTAAGTCTAGTTCTATTGCATATTTTGCCCTTAGGATCAATGTTACGAAGACACATGACTAGAGCACCAATCTTTAATTTTAAGCAATGCTTCAGTAATCCAGAAATTTGTAATTATTCAAAAACTTAGTTCGGTAGTCCACAGTATTTAATGTATCTTTATCTGAAAGAATAATGCTGTCAGAGCTTAGGTATGCATTCTCTTTATCTGAAATATTTATAATCAAAACATAAATATGTGAGGGTATAATTTTTTTGATAATTAGTTGTAATATTTAAGTGTTGATTACTTTTTTCATACATTTTGCAAATATTATGCTTGTATACAAATGCAGTTTCAGTATTTAACAACAATCAAACAAATATTTCATATTGTTTTGTGCTTTTTAAAACTATTTTTTGTAAAAAAAATTCATTATCTAGCATATATAATGACATATAATTACAAATGTAAAAGTTATATTAAATAATAACTTAATTCTTATAATAATTTTTGAATATTACCTATACTATATTTTGTTTTCTCCTTACAAAATATAATTTTGCTAACACATATATATTTTAAGTATTTATTTCTTTTTTTGACCTATTATTATGTTAAATAAAAATAGGTTTTACCATCTTTATTTATCCTAAGAGCGGATAGATGGTTAACCCACACATAGAGATTATAAAAAAAATATAGGTTGTCTAATGATTAAAATTAAAATTGAATTGTAATCGAAGTTAACAAAATGCATGCATGATAAGTTTGCATGCGACTTTGAGTTTTATGCAGCTAACATCATATTGCACGTATATTTTTGGAAAAGTCAAAATATGCATTTTATGTATTAAAAGAAAATAACAAAGTATAATTTGCTTCTTATAATTTTTAAATAACTCCGTAAAACAAAGTACGAGAGTTTTACGGAAAACCAAAACTGAAGAGAAGAAGTTTTATTTTTACTTCTACTTCGTAATCATACTATATGCAATCTATTATAAATATATGTAAAAAACTAAAATCATAATAATTATCATTTTATGTTAATTTTATTTGTTAAATTTGGTGTTACACTGAAACCTCTATAAATTAATACTTAATAAATTAATAATTATTTTAAATTAATAAATTTTATCGGTCCCAAGTTGGGTCAGTACAAAAGATTAGCAAATTTCGATAAGATAATACTTTTTAGAAATTCTATGTTAAAATATGATCCTAATAGTTATATTGATTAATAATTATACATTTAGACTTATATAAATAATATAATATAGTAAAATATGTTTATATTGTTGTTTTAAGTTTATAATTTTTTTTTATTTATCTTCCAAATTCTGTGGTATGACATTCTATGAATGAATTTTATATTGCTGAAAATATTGATTTATGTATTTTGATGAACATTAAGAATTCAAATAAAACAATATCCTTATGAACTAATAAAATATTATTTGTGACACATCAGTGTTTTCATTAAACATGCTTTTCAAATAATAGTTAAGATATAAATATTTTACAAACCACAACAAATGGTAAATTATCTCATTTTTAAAATTTAATGGGGTTTTACATACATATTTTTTGAACATTCCCATGAAATAATTTAAATGTAATTAAAAAGTACTTATTTTACAAATCACGAAGGCTATTTCTGCTCGTACGAGTGTCACTTCACCGAGTTTGGAATAAGCTTTCCATTGTCGCCAATTCTTCTTCGCTATTGTGAAAGGAGGAAGGTACCCCTCGGCCAGCTTTCACATGCCGTGATTAGGCATCTGATTTCCATGGTGGCAGTAGCTCGAGCGGCGGAGGTCCCTTTCAACTGCGATATTTTCGAGAGCATTTCGCTTCTGAAGCCCGGGAGATGGAGCACTTCAGGACCGTGGCATCATTTCTACACCACCATGAAGTACGGGATCGTCAGTTGAGATCCAACGAGCAAAGTCCATGAGTGGGACAGGTACTTCTTCTTCGTGAAGATCAACGAAGCCTCCATCAACTTCTCCGAACTTGAATTATTCCAAGTTTGGAAGTCGAAGCCTGGTAAGCCGAACTGAATTTTCTATTTCTTCCTCTTTTTCATAGCTAACCTTGAGATTACTTGACATGCTCGTTTATTATTATATATTTAGTGTAAATCAACCTCGTCGACGTCATGAAGATGTGCAATTTGAGCAAGCAATTATGCCCAGAGAAGGAGAAAAGGGGGCCGCCGAGAAGAAGAGGAAGTTGGCCAAGCCGGCCGAGATGGGGGCCAAATCTTCAAGAGTAGGTGAATTGCTAAATCGAAGTAATTTTAACTATTATTTCTTTGGGTAGTAGCGCCTTATTTGCTTGATATTTTTAGCCGCTAAGAGGGGAAGGGCGGCTTCGGCAGTGGGTGCAGGTACTACTGCGAACTCCTCGAGATCCACCTATTTTGGTGGATTCTGACGATGCTGGCCGCGAAGAATGAGACTCTCGCGAGGTAAATCTCTTTTCTTACTCCGTGATTTACTTTGTCGTGCCGAGATGATTTTTGACATCTTTCTTCTTTTTTCTTTTTAAAGTTTCTCCTGGACAGTGGCGTTGGAAAGGTTGACGCAAGCTCGAGCCAAGAAGGCTGCAAGGGTCCCTCAAGGCGTATCGTTCCAAAGAAATACTTCCCAAGCCAAAGGCGGGGATGGTGGGGGTCCCTCTGGTGCTGCCGCGGATTGTCGTAAGGCTGTTCCTTTGCCGCCACGGGCTGATATTCCTCAGATTCCCGAGGTCTAGGACAAGAAGATGCGGGTCGGCAAAAGAGCGAAGAGCCTGCTATGGTTCGTCCCAAGGAGCCTGCTCCCTCACAGAACGCTTCGGGCACTGATCGTGCCGGTCCAGGTGCTCCTGCCGAGCCCAAGCAGGAAGAGGAGTTCTTCGACTACAACCCTAATCACTTTAGCGTGAGGTGGGATGGAGCTACTCCGGCGATGCTCGATCGCGACTTTACTTCTAGGCTGATCTGGAAGTGTAGAGAGACCCCGAGATGGGGCAAACCTCTATGAGAACTGAAGTTGGCAGAGTCGTTGTCCTCGGCCAATCAAATGATAGCTCGGGTATGTACACGTTGTTCTTTATTGTGTTTTGACTTTGTTTTGTTGCACGTTTTTCTTAAAGGTAAGTTATGGTGCAGGGCCTGGGAAAATAGATGTCTGCATTCGCGACATACGATAATGAGTATTGTCAAGAGGAGATGATGTTGGGCATCGCCTGCACCAAGATCGAGGAGCTTAAAAAGGCGGAAAGGAAGAATCAGCTTCTCAAGGAGAGGTGTGCTCAGCTCGAAGGCACCATCGAAGCCTTTGAAGGCGAGGTGGCGGAAGCTTCTCGGCTTCGCAAGCAGGTCGCCGCCCTCAGCACGCAGAATGAGTCTCTTGAGAAGCAGAATCAAGAGTTTCTTGCCAAGAAGGAGAAGCTTCAAGGTTCTTCTGGTGATGCCGATAAGATTTTTGATGGTATGATCTCTTGGTTCTAGCCACGATTAGGGCGGATTCGGGCGTCACTGGCCCAGCGAGAAGAGGTAGAAACTGCCCTTGTGGGCGTGGAAAAGAGTGGCTCCATAGTGGCGTTTCTAAAGAAGATGCAGGATAAAGGATGGGAATTCCCCGCTGGAACACTTCCATCCTTTGAGAGGGAGTTTGCTAATTGGTGGGCTACCAGTGATGTTATCAATGAGATAGTTATTACTTGGGAAGACCTTAGCTTCCCTAGCAGATCGGAAGTCGACAGCTTGCTGAAGTGAGCGTAAAGGGAGCCAAGAGTCGACGCACATCGAGCCGCTTATCTTTTTTTGTTTATTTTTTCATTTGATTGGCCCTTGCGAGGTCTTTGTTTTATTTTCTTTTTTAATAACTTTGC